CCCGTCTCCAAGTTGAGTAGCCTCTTGGGAATATGACCTCATTTAAAATAACATAAATTTTGTCTCCATGAGTGCAACAATGCCTGGTGTCTGAAGCTGTATTACATCACTTAACTCCAGTATCTTCGATCTCACTCCATCTACATTGGTGTAAACTTTTCAGGAACATGTTCCCCCTCTCCTTATTCTTCACTACCCCTCTCTCTAGCAATTTTGTTGGTTTGCCTTTATGTACAATTATACTGGCCTGCCTACCCCTATCACTTTGTAGAAAAAAAATTATTTCTTCTTCATTTCTGCTCTCATTTAGACGTTTTGCCTCGGCGAAGTTCAGTTTCAGCTTCTCTGTCTTCCTTTGAAAGATCTCGTCTTAACGACCACACTTTCCCATCCTCATCACTTTGTAAATTTCTGGCATTCGTTAGTACTCCTTCCATCTGTTTGGCACCGTTTAGGGTGATCCTCAAAGGTCAATCTTTCCCTTTTACGTACCTGCCTATTCTCCTGTAGTCGCACACATTCTCTATGGTAGTGAGACTTTTCATGACGCCAACAATTTTATCCACTACTTTTGCTTCGTCTACAGCCCTTTCTGACTAAGATGTTGTCTCCATTTCTTTGCAACCAAAAATGATCAGGGACTTTCTCCGATCAACTGTGTTTTGCACCAACTTCGGGTTAGATGCCAATTCCTTTCTCATTTCCAACCTAATGTTTGTTTTATCTTGGTTGCTGCAGTGTTTGGCTTCCTTTACTACTGCTTCAATTTTTTCCTTCTCCTTGGCCACTTGTGCATAGGTGAGTTGCATATCTTTCTTGCACTGTTCTATTCCCTGTGTAACTTCCTCCATCTGTACTGACAAAAGCTGTTTCTCCTGTTCAATTACCTAACCTATTGTAGTCATTTATGTTTAAATTTGCTTTAACTTCTTCCAAAAGCTATTTTTAAGAGTTTATTTTCTTCTTCCATGGCTTTGCAATTTGTTTCTAATTGATTCTTATCCTTGCACAAGTCTTTCACTACATCCTCAAGACATAATCCTTTGCTACACAAATAGTCATTACTTTCTTTCAAGTTACTGATTATTTCTACATGAGAGTTCACTATAGTATCTAATTTTGCCAACTTGTTGTGTAGACTGCTTATATCAATGCTTTCTTCATTGAATCCCCCAAAATCAAGCTCTGTTTTGTTTTTACTCTTGCCGGCGGCCATCTTGAATGTTCTTCTCTGCCCTGGAACACTATCTTGAGGTTATCTTGAGATAATTTCGGGGCTTTAGTGTCCCCGCGGCCTGGTCCTCGACCAGGCCTCCACCCCCAGGAAGCAGCCTGTGACAGCTGACTAACACCCAGGTACCTATTTTACTGCTAGGTAACAGGGGCCTAGGGTGAAAGAAACTTTGCCCATTGTTTCTAGCCGGCGCCCGGGATTGAACCCGGGACCACAGGATCACAAGTCCAGCGTGCTGTCCGCTCGGCCGACCGGCTCACTAGGGCAACTTTTTCTCATCCAATTTTTTCACTTCCCTTAGCATATTCCTGTTATCTCACCTATTTTTCAAAAGCGCTCTACCTTTATGCTCTCTGGGACACCACTCACTATCAACCTGTACTACAATACTTAGGATTGTTGAAATATGCTGGAGCTCCTCCGATGTAAGTGTCAACACTAGGGGTGTCACCTTTTGAATGGTTTGGAACCTTTCAAAAGTAGTGTATTAATCATTAGTCACGTCCATTAGCGTCTACTAGTTGTGTTTGCGGGGGTTGAGCTTTGCTCTTTCGGCCCGCCTCTCAACTGTCAATCAACTGTTTACTAACTACTTTTTTTTTTTTTTTTTTTTCCCCACACCACACACACACACACACACACACACCCCAGGAAGCAGCCCGTGACAGCTGACTAACTCCCAGGTACCTATTTACTGCTAGGTAACGGGCATTCAGGGTGAATGAAACTTTGCCCATTTGTTTCTGCCTCGTGCGGGAATCGAACCCGCGCCACAGAATTACGAGTCCTGCGCGCTATCCACCAGGCTACGAGGCCCCCCTGTGTTGAAGGGCACCGTGTGTGGGGCTGCTTGGGATCAACTTTGGCACGAGTGTTGGCCCTCGTCCCGGGTCATTCCATGTGAATTCACCAAAGGCCTCCCACTCGACCCTTTCTAAATCTAATGAAATTTTGTAATAAAGTAGCCCTAGACCCCAAATGAAATTGTGCAAAATATTAGAGCTCAATCTGCTTTGGTTCTTAAATAATAGGTCCATGTTCAATGGGCTCTCATCCCGTTAATGCGTACATATCGTAAAAAGGGCCAACTTTGACCCTTTATCAAATCACGTCTAGTGCCCAGAGAGGTGTGAAATTTGGCATACCAGGACAACTTTTGGTGCGGAATACAGCAGTGTAATAAAAAAAAGTAGTTTGGGTAGCCATTCAGCTACCAATCCATGCTAAAATCACTGCCAAATTTTGTCGTGAGAAATTTGGACCCCAATTTGGAGACCACTTACTCATCACCAAAAGGTCTAAACGCCATGATCTTTTGCAACGATGTATAACAAGCACAATATTATGCAGTGATGCAATAGCAACTCTGTTGTATCCATATGTCCAGAGGTGGCCCACTTGAAAGTTGGCCAAAAAAAATTTTTGTGCAAAACTAGCCAACTTTCAAGGCAAAATATCTCAATATGCGTCATTCCCAATTTGGTTTTGAATGACACCATTGGATAGAGCAGATTTTTCTGTACAAGAGTAACTTTTATTTAGGTTGGGATCTGAATTCCTAGTTCAGCCAGAGGACTCTGAAAATGACATACCTTGGTGCGATATCGAAAAAATCAAATTATGATTCTCCATCTTCTTTGTGCACTGATCATGACTGCTAGCAAATTGATATCCAAACTGATTGGAAAAATTTTAAGCTTCATTGGGTAGAACATTTTTGGGTGGGATTCAGAATTATTATTAAACAATCAGTGCTATTTTAGGTTCCTGTTCTATATTTATCTTTACATCTTTGTAGTATCGTGTCAGCAGGTCAAACATTGCTGTTTACTTATTTGTGTATTTACTTGCAATAAATACACAAATAAATAAAAAGCAATATTAATATTAATGTATTACAGGTCTCACTTGAAATTACTGTATTCAGTTAGTTAAATAATTTGATTTGAATTCGATTACAGATACGTCATGAATCAGGATTCCATTGGTTTATTGCCATGTGCTATTGCTAGCCATGAGCGTGGCTCTTCTGAATGTCACTTGACAACCTACACTCCCAACAAAGGCTTGAAGTTTCTAAAACAGTATAGTGCAGAAGATCAAAAACTGATAGCAAAGTGAAGTGAACTGAACTTGGATGGAGAATCTCAAGTATGCCTCCATCATGAAGCTTTGCTGTTGACGAAATTTGAATTTTTGCAAAAAACTTGCTGCAATCCCTTCAAGAAGAAATGCCATGTAAAGCGAAAAGATTTGCCACCAATCACAGTAGCTACTGCAGAGAAAATGTCAGATATGCTGAAAGTCAGTATTAAGCCTGGCCAAAAGTTGTGCACATCATGCAGAAAGGAATTCGACAGTAAGCAGGTGAGTGAGTCCAGCTCTACTGAATCTGATGGCCCTGCTGATAATATGGAAATCTGTGAAAGTGTAAACACAAGTTTATCAGTATTAGGCATCTCACCTATTAAATATCAACGAGTTAGTGCAAGGGATAAGCATGGTTATGCAAAGCGTAAGATTAGCCAAGCACAGGAAATAATTGCCGAGCAGATTGCTGCAATTGGAAATATTGATTGCCAAAACCTGTTGGTACCAAGCTCTAGCCAACAGTGCACAAATTGCCAAGACTTCAATAAACTCATTGAAGAAATGAAGCTAAAATTCCATGTAGCAAAGCGCCAAGAAAAAATACAAATCCTAACCCTCGTGCCACAAAGCTGGTCTATCAAAAAGACAATGGAGCAATTCAAAGTTTCAGAATACATGGTTCGCGAAGCTAGGAAGCTGAAAGAAGAACAGGGAATACTAGCAATTCCTAAGAAAATGCAGGGCAAGTCAGTTCCTGAGGAAGTGAAGGAAAGGGTAGTACAGTTTTTTGAGGGTGAAGAATTTAGTCGAATGTGTCCCGGAAAGAATGGAAAGAAAAAAAGTCATGATCAGTGCACAAAGAAGATGGAGAATCATAATTTGATTTTTTCGATATCGCACCAAGGTATGTCATTTTCAGAGTCCTCTGGCTGAACTAGGAATTCAGATCCCAACCTAAATAAAAGTTACTCTTGTACAGAAAAATCTGCTCTATCCAATGGTGTCATTCAAAACCAAATTGGGAATGACGCATATTGAGATATTTTGCCTTGAAAGTTGGCTAGTTTTGCACAAAAATTTTTTTTGGCCAACTTTCAAGTGGGCCACCTCTGGACATATGGATACAACAGAGTTGCTATTGCATCACTGCATAATATTGTGCTTGTTATACATCGTTGCAAAAGATCATGGCGTTTAGACCTTTTGCTGATGAGTAAGTGGTCTCCAAATTGGGGTCCAAATTTCTCGCGACAAAATTTGGCAGTGATTTTAGCATGGATGGATAGCTGAATGGCCACCCATACTGCTTTTTCGATTACACTACGTTATTCTACACCAAAAGTTGTCCTGGTATGTCAAATTTCACACTCCTACAGGCAATAGAAGTGATTTAACAAAGGGTCAAAGTTGGTCATTTTTGTGGTACTGTACTTACGCATTAACAGAACGAGAGCCCATTGAATATGGACTTGTTATTTAAGAAGCAAGGCAGATGAAGCTCTAATATTTTGCAAAGTGTCATTTGGGGGGTCTAGAGCTATCTTACTACAAAATTTCATGGCATATGGAGAGGGTCGAGAGGGAGCCATAGGTGACTTTTTGGTGATTTGAGATGGACTGACCCCCACGTTATTGTGACTCATCGCCAGTAATAACTCTGTTTCTCACATTGCAGCCAATCTTTCTTCAACGTACACTATACTACATGCGTGGGAGGATGAGCCGCAGTCACAAGAACAGAATGTCGTTCAAACTAGACTGTTTATTGGACAAGGTAATGCCCAACGTGATTTATTTTTTAATCTTGTAGTTACAGTAGCTGTAGTTTAATCAAATTAATTGTAGAATCACTTTGTCTGATATCTGCCATTCAAGAAATTTTGTAATAAATGCAAAATGAAACTACATTTAAATTTCAGAATAACTGGAAAGGAAAAGGCTGAAATGTGGCTTTAGTTACTATATTGCCAGGCCTTTGATAATACCAGCAAAATGAGAAATTGTCAGGATTACATATATGTACATTATAAACTTATTTATTTTGAGAGTGGTATGATAGCAAGGCTCATTTGGACTGGGCTGCCTTGTTTCTTCCTGGCGGGTAGGTTCTCCACTTGGTATAGTCCCAGTCCGGAGGTTGGCATTTGTGAGTGCTGGTCTGGTCTTGCTCACTCATTTTCCTGGGTTACTCGCACACACTCATTTTCCTGGGTCACTCGCACGCACTCATTTTCCTGGGTCACTCGTGCATTCATTTTCCTGGGTCACTCATACTGGCACACTCATTTTCCTTTGCCACTCATACTGGCACATGCTCATTTTTCTGGGTCACTCGTACTGGCACACTCATTTTCCTGGGTCTGTCTCTCTCTCACTCATTTCCCTAATCCTCATCAGTGAGATTAGACTCAATTTCTTGCTGTGCCATGTTATCCTCCTGCTGTGGTCTCTCTTCTTGTTCTCTCCCAACGTATCCTCCTCCTGCCTTGGGGCCAGATTCACGAAGCAGTTACACAGGTACTTACGAACGTGTACATCTTTCCTCAATCTTTGATGGTTTTGGTTACTCTTATTAAACAGTTTACAAGCATGAAAACTTGCCAAATCAACTGTTGTTATTGTTATAAACAGCCTCCTGGTGCTTCGGAGCTCATTACCTGTTTAATAAATGTAAACAAAGCCGCCAAAGATTGAGGAAAGATGGACTGGTGCGCAAGTGCTTGCGTAACTGTTTCGTGAATCCTGGCCCCGGTCTCTCTTCTTGTTCTCTCCCAACTCTGTTTCCTGTCCCTCTTTCAATTTCCCTTTGCTTCTCCTCATTTCTTCTCTTGGTTTCCACTCTTTCTTCCTTACTGGTGTCCCAATCAATGAACACACGGCTCCATCTTCCCCATTTCTTAATCTTGACTTCTCTGCCAGTACGTATATACTTCACTGCAAGACTTCTTTTGGGGAATTCATCTTCACTGGACTTTGTCATCCCTGTTGGACCATCCCTATCCTATCCTACAATAATTTTTGTATTTCTTGGGCTGCTCTACTTGCCTGCACTTTGTCTAGGATCCTTTTTAACTTCCCAGTTTCCATTTCTTCTCTCCTGTCATGTGGCTCCCCTCTGGTTCTGTCTGTGTTTGCTGCAGTTCACTATGTACACACAGAGATCACACTAACGTGATGCATCAAATGAACAAATCCGCAAGGGCCGTGACGAGGATTCGAACCTGCGTCAGGGAGCGAACTGCCTTAATTGACTGAGCTACGACAGGGTAAAAGGGTTGAAACCGAAGTTCTACTGAACTTACTAGATCCCGTAGCCTCTCCGAGGCACAAACCAGGATTTTATACAACCCCCTTCCCTGTACCCGAGCTATGTCAATAGGCCGTTCTCTCTCTTCGCCCTTACATCTGTGTGTGATGAAGTAAGGGCGAAGAGGGAGAACGGCCTATTGACATAGCTCGGGTGCAGGGGGGAGTTGTGTAAAACCCTGGTTTGTGCCTTGGAGAGGCTACGGGATCCAGTAAGTTCAGTAGAACTTCGGTTTCAACGCTTTTACCCTGTCGTAGCTCAGTCGATTAAGGCAGTGTCTGGGATGCTCCCGGACGCAGGTTTGAATCCTCGTCACGTCCCTTGTGGATTTGTTCACTATGTACTTTGATCTGACAGCCTTTATCACTGTTGCACAACACACACCGCCACATCTTTACTGACAACATACAGCTAAGCACTGAATTATTCCCACCAGGAGATTTTCATATCCTGTATCAAGAACAGGATAGGGTCCAATGACTGAACGCTGTACATGCCTAGTTGTGCTTGCGGGGTTTGAGCTCTGGCTCTTTGGTCCCGCCTCTCAACTGTCAATCAACTGGTGTACAGGTTCCTGAGCCTACTGGGCTCTTATCATATCTACATTTGAAACTTGTGTATGGAGTCTGCCTCCACCACATCACTGCCTGTAGGCCCCTCGCTGGTGACATCTCGCCACTCTGAGACCTCGCCTCTCAGTGACTCGGTTATCTGTTGCTTAGGTACTCCCTTACCCACTAGAGTACCTTCCCTGTTATTCCTGGCTGTATATATTTATTATACACTTGTCTCTTATGGGGATACTGTGCCCAAAGGCTTTCTGGCAATCCAAAAATAGGCCGTCTGCTCACCCTTCTCTTTCTTGTTTAATTTTTGTTGCCTGGTTATAGAAGTTTATTAATTCCATGAGGCAAGATTTGCCATCCTTGTGGCAATATACCAGTGGCTTTCTGGGGTGACTGTACTCGCCTAGTTGTGTTTGTGGGGGTTTGAGCTTCGGCTCTCTGGTCCCATGTCTCGACTGTCAATTGGTGAATAGATTATTTGTATGCACTGCTACCAAAACAACACACCCTGGATGTGGGTGGAGAAGGAGAACTACCAAAGCCCACAAGAAGTGACATGCAATATGGGAAATCATTCATATTTGCAAACATAAAAGGTTTAAAATCAAATTCAAGAAATAAAGTTCATAAATGGCCTTCTAATAGAATCGAACTCAATATTTGATGCATTTACAGAAACCCACACAAAAGACCACTTGGATAGTGAAATCTGGATCCCAAATTATAATGTATATAGATGTGAGAGAGTAATTAGGTCAAGTGGAGGAGTAGGTGTGTATATTAAAGAGGAGCTGGCATGCACAGAGCTCCTGAACTCGACCAATGAGGTGGTAGAGGTACTTGGAATCACGGTAGAAAATATAAATCTAATTGTTACTCTAATATACAAACTGCCAGATGCAACAGTTAAGGAATTCACTGAGCAGATCCACAAAATAGAGAGTATCCTTGATAACCTAGCAAACCCAGTACCAGATTTCATCTTCCTTTGGGACTTCACTCTACCCAGTTTGCAATGGAGAATAGTAAACAATAACATTATAGCAAGAAATCAACCTGGAAATAACCAATCACAGATCAGAGAACTACTGAGATTGTGACAAATTCTCGCTCAGTCAGCAGATTACAGAACCAACTAGGAACGAGAACACGCTGGACCTCATATTCACGAACAATGATGAGCTAATCAGAGACATTACTGTCTCAGACACTACGTACTCAGACCGCAAGCTCATTGAAGTGCAAACTAACATTAATAACGGTAGTAGGCCCAAGAGAAACAACAAGCGAGAAAAGCTTTTCAATAAATTCAATTTTAATAATAAAACAATAGACTGGGAGAAAATAAACAGGAAACTTACAAACATTCAATGGGAAAATGTTGTAAGTAATAAAAATCCTACACAAGGAATATAAAAACTGACTTCTGAAGCCTATGAAGTCTGTCTGAAAAATGTTCCGTTGAGGAAAGCCAAAAAGAGGTCCAACGTAGGAGAACGCAGACGACACTACAAAAGAAAGAAAGAAAGTTGACATGTGCTTAAGCAGACACGACTTTCCATACAAAGAAGGAATAATTTAAACGGAGATTAAAGAAATCGAACAGAGACTGAAGCATTGATATCGGATTTAAAAAATGCAACTAAAATGGAAAGCAATTCAAGAAATAATGAAATACCCAAAATATTTCTTCACATATGCTAAATCAAAAGCAAAAACCACTGCCAGTATTGGACCTATTCGTACTAGTGAAGGTTCATACACTGAGGATGACAAAGAAATTGGTGAAATCCTAGAAAAGCAATATAAAGACATGTTTAGCACCCCGATACACGGTATGAAAGTGGAAAATCCGGACAACTTCTTTACGCGTGATATCCAAATGCGGTTTGTAAATATAACTGATATCAACACGATTGTGGCAGATTTTGAAAGAGAAATTGACAATATGCCCATACACTCGGCCCTAGGTCCAGACTCATGGAATTCAATATTCATAAAGAAATGTAAAGTGCCAGTAGCACAGGCACTCAGTATAGTGTGGAGAAAGAGCTTGGACACGGAGGAAGATAGCAGAAGCGCTGGAAGCAGCAGACATAGCCCCTCTACACAAGGGAGGGAGCAGAGCATTGGCAAAGAATTATAAACCAGTTGTACTAACGTCCCACATTATAAAAGTATTTGAGAGAGTGATCAGGAGTCGGGTCACTAGGTTTATGGAAACAAATGACCTCCACAATCCGGGCCAACATGGATTTCGAGCAGGAATATCAAGCCTCTCACAGCTACTTGACCATTACGACAAAATCACTGAGGCACTAGAAGAAAAACAGAATGCGGATGTTGTATTCACAAACTTTGCAAAAGCATTTGACAAATGTAACCATGGAGTGATAGCACACAAAATGAGGTCAATGGGTATAACTGGTAAAGTAGGACGCTGGATACTCAATTTCCTGTCGAACAGAACACAGTAACAGTCAACCATATAAAATTGAGTCCAAGTGCAGTTAAAAGCTCTGTACCTCAAGGTATAGTCCTTGCACCACTGCTGTTCCTTACTCTCATATCAGATACAGACAAAAATACAAGTCACAGCTTCGTGGCATCCTTTGCAGACGACACAAAAATCGGCATGAAAATTACCTCGGCTGAAGACATTGAAAAATTGCAAGTAGATATTAATAAAGTTTTTGATTGGGCAACAGAAAATAACATGTTTAACAGGGATAAATTCCAGGTACTCAGGTACGGGAAAAATGAGGACCTTAAACATAATACAGGTACAAAACACAATCGAATCTGCCCATAGTAGGAAAACAGCATGTAAAGGATTTGGGAATAATGATGTCTGACGACCTAACGTTTGGGGAGCATAACCAATCAAATATTGCATCAGGCAGAAAAATGATCGGATGGATTATGAGAACTTTCAAATCCAGGAATCCCATCACAATGGTTGTACTCTTCAAGTCACTTGTGTTGTCCCGTCTTGAGTACTGCTTCTAGTACTTGAGTACTTTGCTTTGGCAGGAGTACTCTCCTGCCCCCTTCAGAGCAGGAGAGGTTGCTGAAATAGAGGGAATACAGAGAACATATACGACACGCATAGATGCGATAAAGCACCTAAACTATTGGGATCGTCTCAAAGCTCTCCAAATGTACTCACTAGAAAGAAGACGAGAGAGATACCAAATAATATACACATGGAAAATACTGGAGGGCCAAGTGCCAAATCTACACAGTAAAATAACGACATACTGGAGTGAACGATATGGAAGAAAATGTAGAATAGAACCAGTGAAGAGCAGGGGTGCCATAGGCACAATCAGAACACTGTATAAACATCAGAGGTCCACTGTTGAACAACACCCTCCCAGCGAGCGTAACAAATATTGCCGGAACAACTGTGGACATCTTAAAGAGGAAACTAAATTGTTTCTTCCAAGGAGTGCCGGACCAACCGGGCTGTGGTGGACATGTGGGCCTGCGGGCCACTCCCAGCAACAGCCTGGTGGACCAAACTCTCGCAGGTCAAGCCTGGCCTCGGGCCAGGCTTGGGGAGTAGAAGATCTCCCAGAACCCCATCGACCAGGTATCTATTTATAATCATCATGTCTACATTTGAAATGATGTATGTAGTCTGTTTCCCCCACATCACTGCCTAATGCATTTCATTTGTTAACTACTCTGACACTGAAAATATTTTCTAATGTGTCTGTGGCCCATTTAGGTACTTGGTTTCCACCTGTGTCCCCTTGTTCACACACCACTTGTGCTAAATCATTTATCTACCCTGTCAGTTTATCTGAGAATTTTATAGGTGGTGATCATGTCTTCCCTAAGCTCCAGTACCCTTTCCTCGTAGCTTATACCTCTTGGTTCTGGGACTAGTCTGGTGGCCTACCTCTGAATCTTCTCGAACTTTGTTTTGTGTTTAACTAGATATGGACTCCAGGCTGGAGCTGCATACTCCAGGATTGGTCTGGCATAAGTGGTATATAAGATTCTGAATGATTCCTTACACAACTTTTTAAAGGTAGTTATTATGTTGACCAATCTAGCATATGCTGCTGATGATACCCTTTTGATGTAGGCTTCTGGGGACAGGTTCGCTGTGATGTCAATCTCCAGATCTTTTTTCTCTATTTGACTCTTGCAGATATCACCTCCCAGATGGTATCTTGTGTTCAGCCTCCTGCTCCTTTCACCTAATTTCATTACTTTACACTTACCCCAAGTTAAACTTTAGTAACCATTTCCTAGAACATTCCTCCAGTTTGTCCAGGTCGTCCTGTAGAGTCTCTATCTTCCTCTATCTTGATTCTTCTTATACTTTTTGCATCACCAGCAAACATTGAAAGGAATGTGCGTATACCCTCTGGAAGGTCGTTTACATATACTGTATCAGAAACAGGATGGGTCCAAGTACAGAGCCCTGTGGAACTCCGCTGGTGACATCTCGCCACTCTGATGTCTTCCGCCCCCCCCCCCCCCTCCTCACAGTTACTCGCCGTTTCCTGTTGCTTAGATATTTCATTAATCACTGGAGCACCTTACCTTTTACTCCTTTCTGTTGCTGCAACTTTCGTAACAACCGCTAATGGGGTACTGTGTCAAAGACTTTCTGACAGCCTAAGAAAATGTAGTTTGCACAACTTTGTTTCTTGCCTAATTTTTGTCTCCTGGTCATAGAATTTAAATAAACTTGTGAGACACAATTTACCATATCTGAACCCATGCTGGTGGTGTTACAAAGCTTCTCTCCTGATGCTCCAAGAGCCTTTTTCTCACGACCTTCTCCATCACCTTGCATAGTATACAAGTTAGGGAGACTGGCCTGTAGTTAAGTGTCTCTTGCCTGTCACCCTTTTTGTATATTGGGACTACATTAGCTGTCTTCCAGCTTTCTGGTCGGTCTCCTATTTCCAGAGACCTGTTATACTCCATAGAGTGTGGCACACTTAGTGCTTCTGCACCCTCTTCCAGTATCCATGGTGAGATTCTGTCAGGCCCAACAGTCTTTGTCACATTCAGCTCCAACAGATTCCTTTTGACCTCATCACTGGTAAGCTCTAATTCCTCCAAGGTTGCTTGGTTTACCACCACCACCTCTCAGTACAAGGACTTCTTGTTGCTCTATTGTGAAGACCTGGAATTTGTCGAGTTCTTCACACACCTTGTCATTGTGTATCTGCTCTCCCCTTTTCTCAGTTTCATTATTAGTTCCCTCGCTGCTATTTTCCTCCTGCTGTGGCTGTGGAGCAGTTTTGATCGGGTCTTGGGTTTACTCGCGATATCGTTTTCAGTGTGTGTACACAGAAATGGAGTGTACGTGTATTCAGGCAGGGTGTTGATGGCTGGGCAGAAGAAGCAAGTGTGCAAGGGTAGGTGGAAAGGAGTTGCATTATTTTCATTTTTTTTGTGGGGGCGGTCCGAGAATTATTTGGAATATTACCAACATACACAAATTTTGGATTTGTCGGCATCCAATTCATCCTCATAGGAGCATGCGTCTGAAAATTGTGTTGTATAATTGAGCTGACGTGATTGGGCGTTTCAGGTGACCCAGAAGAGCGAGCGGCAAAATGAGCGTCCAGCTAGCTACCTCAATATAGCCTTCACCGGTTTCCATGATGATAAATGTGAGTGAATTTGAATTTCCGTTTATGCCCAGAACACAGTTGGGTTAACCCTAGGACACTGATCTAGTTGCTATCTGCAATTTCCTACTATGCCTCAATCTCTAGAATTTCTTCCTGTGTTGCTGTTTCTGTTTACAGCTTTTCTGTGCTACAGTCGCTGGCTGTGATTTCCCTCTGTGCTCCAATTACTTTCTGTAATTTTCTTGATTTGTGTGGTCCAATTACTGTCTGTAAATTCTTTGCCTTTGACTTGCTACCTAATTTTAGTTGAGTGCACTTTGAGGTACAGTAGTAGTTTTACATAGGTGAGTAAGTCATGGGTTAATGATTGTACGAGTTTATAGGCAACATTTCACGCTAAACAGGAGGCACAAAGTCAGTCTTTGAATTATTTACATTGCCGCGTGCTACAAGCCTTAGTAGAGTGGGTAAGAGATTGTTTTTTCATTCTCTTTGAATGAAATGCTTTAGTTGCTCAGTCAGGAAAGTCCAAATATTTTATTGCTTATCTGCATTTGAATTGTTTAGTCATTGTGGAAAGCTTTTGTAAATACAAAATTATTGACGGCACAGACGGTAGATATTATTTAGAAATCTGTGAAGACTAAACTACACGCCAGATGATGATTAGACGACGGCGCTTTGGTCCGTCCTGGACCATTATCAAGTCGATTGTCTTGATAAAGGTCCAGGACGGACCGAAACGTCGTCGTCTCCCTATCTTGTTGTGTGTGGTTAAGTCTTCATATCTTCAGCCACTATCAGGGGGCCTCGTAGCCTGGTGGATAGCGCGCAGGACTCGTAATTCTGTGGCGCGGGTTCGATTCCCGCACCAGGCAGAAACAAATGGGCAAAGTTTCTTTCACCCTGAATGCCCCTGTTACCTAGCAGTAAATAGGTACCTGGGAGCTAGTCAGCTGTCACGGGCTGCTTCCTGGGGGTGGAGGCCTGGTCGAGGACCGGGCCGCGGGGACACTAAAGAGCCCCGAAATCATCTCAAGATAACCTCAAGATCTCAAGATAACGTTATTATGACTCGTTATCTGCACTTAGAAATCTGTAGTATGCCAGGGCAGTTGCTGAAGAATTTTCAGTTCAGGTCACACTTTTGCTACCCTTACACACACTACCCTTACACACACTACCCTTACACACACTACCCTTACACACACTACCCTTACACACACTACCCTTACACACACTACCCTTACACACACTACCCTTACACACACTACCCTACCCTTAGGGAATATTGTGCATCCCCTCGGGAAAGTTGCAAACTCCATCCTGGGCTAATATGACTTTCAACATCTAATGCAATGTGAATCTTTTTTTATGTAATACAGGACTCTCACTAGGACATAACACAATGAATAAACGCGGGAGAATAAATGCCTTGAATGATAATGAAAAGGATAATGTGTCTAATTACTATCTTCTAAGCAGTACAGTACTTCAAAAAGGACTAGTGTTCAATACAGTGAAACACCTGTTACAGGTCTGACAGCTGAGTGGACAGCATCTTGGATTCATAGTCCTGAGATTCTGGGTTTGATTCCTGGTGGAAACAAATGGGCAGTTTCTTTCAGCCCGATGCTCCTGTTTACCTAGCAGTAAATAGGTACCTGGGAGTTAGAAAGCTGCTACGGGCTGCTTCCTGGGGGATGTGTAACGGAAAGGAGGCCTACCTTGAGGTGATTTCGGGACTCGGCGACCCCGCGGCCCGATCGTCGACCAGGCCTCGTTGCTGTACTGGTCAACCAGGCTGTTGGATGCGGCTGCTCGCAGCCTGGCATATGAGTCACGGCCTGGTTTATCGGGTATCCTTTGGAGGCGTTTGTCAAGTTCTCTCTTGAACACTGTGAGGGGTTGGCCAGTTATGTCCCTTATATGTAGCGGAAGCGTCTTGAACAGTCTCGGGCCTCTGATGTTGATAGTTCTATCTCAGAGTACCTGTTGCACCTCTGCTCTTCAATCGGGGTATTCTGCACATCGTGCCATGCCTTCTGGTCTCATGTGCTGTTATTTGTGTGTGCAGGTTTGGGATCAGCCCCTTTACTATTTTCCATGTGTAAATTATTATGTGTATCTCCCGCCTGCGCTCAAGGGAATACAGATTTAGGCTGTTTAGTCGGTCCCAGTAGTTTAGATGTTTTACTGAGTGGATTCTAGCAGTAAAGGATCTCTGCATGCTCTCCAGGTCAGCAATTTCTCCAGCTTTGAAAGGGGCTGTCATTGTGCAGCAGTATTCCGCTCTAGAGAGCCCTAGCGTCTTGAAAAATACCGTTATAGCATCTCTAGTGTGAAAGGTTAAGGTTATCCAACCTGATGTTATCACCACCCTGTCACTGGGGTGGTGATAAATTCCCATCAGGCAAGGGAGCAAGGGGAGGTTATTTTGAGAGGATTTCTGGACTTAGCGTCCCCGTGGCCCGGTCCTCGACCAGGCCTCCTTTTTGTTACACATCCCCAGGAAGCAGCCCGTAGCAGCTGTCTAACTCCCAGGTATCTATTTCCTGCTAGGTAAACAATGCATCAGGGTGAAAGAAACTGCCCATTTGTTTCTGCCTCCACTGGATCGAACCCGGAACTAAAGGACTACGAATCCGAAATGCTGTCCACTCAGCTGTCGGCTCCCCCTCGCCGACGAGGGTGTCGGGAGAGTGTAAAATTCCCCTGCACACTCGCCCCTCACTGGGGTGATGATAATAATCATCCAGAAAATCAGAGGCCTTACAGATAAATGCAAAGTTCGTGGGTAACGAAGCATCGAAACAGTCAGACGACTGCAAATGATCCAATGCAAACAGTTGAACTCGAAACATAACTCAAACCCATTAGTGCCAATGGCTGCCATCAGGCAGGCCAGAGCCTGGCCAGCAGCCAGTTCCAGGGCCAATCCAGGGCTGATGGACAACAAGCCAATGAACCTGGTAGGGAGGTGGAGAATGGAGGAGACATGAGGGCTTTACTAGAGAGAGGTGTTTCCTTACGTTCAGTGGTGGTTATCTGGGACGATCTCCTTGGTGGCTTCCTCAAGTTATTAACTACAAAAACTGGAAAACAAGGAACTACGATAGGGCCTGACAGCCGAGTGGACAGCGCTCGGTATTCGTAGTCCTGAGGTTACAGGTTCGATGCCCGGTGGAGGTGGGAACAAATGGGCAGAGTTTCTTCTACCCTGATGCCCTGTTCACCTAGTAGTAAATAGGTACCTGGGATCTAGACAGCTGCTACGGGCTGTTTCCTGGGAGAGTGTAACAAAAAGGAGGCCTGGTCAAGGACGGGGCTACGGGGACGCTAAGCCCCGAGATCAATAAAAATATGACCATGATAACTATGTTTCACATCTTGGTCATCAGTTTGTGCCATTAGGATAACTCCTTGTTAATGGGATATCTAAATATATCCTTCTTTTGAGCTGTGGTTTTTCTCGTCATTAGTTGGTGTGTTGTTGACTTTCCCAATGATGTTATGGTCCATTCTGGGGCCCTTATTACATACTCGCTTAGTTGTACTTGCAGGGGTTGAGCTCTGGCTCTTTGGGCCCGTCTCTCAACTGTCAAGTGTGGGACACACTGAAATGTCGTCACTCAATCTCCAGATGTTTGGCTTGGGTTGTTATTGGCACATTATCGTGACTTATTCTTTGCAGAGTGAGGCAAGTTAGCAGGTCGGCTGTTGACAATACTGGTGGTGCTGCCTGATGGAGGTGGCAGTGACCAGGCAGGCGACTAGTTACTGGTGGAGGTGGCAGTGACTAGACAGGCAACTAGTCATTGGTGGAGCAATATGTAGACAAATGTACCTTCTACCGGTCATTAATAACTTGTTTGGGTCTTCTCTGAACCCAGTCTCTTGATTTGCCACTCTGTAAAACAATTAAACCATTTTCTCTAACGTGTGTTTTCGCACGTTTTCGGAAACGTGCGAACCTAAACAATAGGGCGCTTAAAACGTTTCTAGTAAGCTACATTTTTAATGGGTGGAGGCAATTTCATAATAAAGCGATGTGTTAGGTGAGAGGACAGGTGGAGGACATAAAGGCCCCCCTCTTATGGGGCTGGCAGAAGCATTTCGACTAGATTTCGTCTTCACCTTCCAACGAAGTAGTGTACTGGCCTTTGCCTACAGTTTGCAAGTTACTTGGGAAAGTCGGAAGTTGCATATTACACAAGGGAGCAATAGATTTGCTAAGAAAGAGATCATTTAATATCACATATTTTTGTTAATGGTTGATTGATTGTTGCTATCAGAGGCGGCCAGTTTATTGTGCACCCCATACTCATTCTGTGAGCGGTAGCGCAAAAGCATTACCGAGGGCACAAAAGGTCTTTATCAGACCTCATCTAAGATTATTACATAAGCAATTTCATCTATCCTTCACACCTTATAGTTACATGTCAGCTAGTTACAGTGTGTTCTATTTCAAGAGCTATATATATATATTTTCATTATACATTAATGGTAGGTCTTATCACTAGTACATAATTGTTTGTGCAATGGAGACAAGTCATTGGGGAGCTGCTGTTTATTATTAGTCTTCACTATACACTACTTGTTTCTTAATCTCGTATTTCGTTTATCTACTGGAAGGGAAATATGCCAGTAGGGAGCCGGTCAGCCGAGCGGATAGCATGCTGGACTTGTGATCCTGTGGTCCCGGGGTCGATCCCGGGCGCCGGCGAGAAACAATGGGCAGAGTTTTTCACCCTATGCCCCTGTTACCTAGCAGTAAAATAGGTACCTGGGAGTTAGTCAGCTGTCACGGGCTGCCTCCTGGGGGTGGAGGCCTGGTCGAGGACCGGGCCGCGGGGACACTAAAAAAAAAAAAGCCCCGAAATCATCTCGAGATAACCTTAAGATATGGATACAGTGCAAGAATTTCAGGTATTTTATTCTTGGTAATAAGATAGGTTGCCATATCATACAGCGTGAGCTTAGATTTCTCTCTAAAGGGCTCAATTTTACTAGAATCCAAGATATGGTGTTCGAGTGTGTGTCCCTGTCTTTGTCCACACACTTTACACTTCACTTCATCTAGGTCCCTATACAAGCCGAACTGCCAGAGATACTTGTAGCCAAGTCTTATACGAGCTGTGACAACATCTGTTAGTCTACTGACTTTGTTACATGCCCCGTTTTACTTCACACATTTCATTGTGATGAACAATGGACCTGCTAGTTCCAGTTTGCACTGTTCTACTTTCTTCAAATCCATCCAGTTCTCGTCTAATGACATTTTTAAGGGACCTATTTGATAACTCAAGATTCAGTTCAATACTGTCTTTATTTACTGCAGCCTTAGCAAGGGCGTCAACTTCATGTTCCTGCAGACCAATGTGAGAAGGAGTCTACAACATTTTTATATTTACCCTCTTGGTAAATATATTTATATATCTATGTCTGGCTTCTGAGACAAGCACATTATTACTTGATTGCAAACTGTTTATTGCTCGTAGTGAGGAAAGGGAGTTGGAAATAATTAAGCTGTCTACTTTGGTGTTGTCAATAATTCAGATTGGTACAAGTATTGCTACCAACTCGGCTTGCATTGTGGATGCCCAGTGACTAATTCTTATATGACTTTGAATTGTGCTTCTATCGGACTGATCAGCAATAACAGCACTTCCTGCCCTCCCTGTTGCTGTACAGTGTATTGAGTAATCCGTCGGTGTATATGGTCTGCGCGATGTTTTCTGTTTATATTTTGTGAATGTGTTCTATGGTGCTTAATTTAGCAGCAAGCTGAGCATGAGGGTTGTTTGCCATTAGTTTCTCGGTGGGGTATGCAGGCGTCGGGATGTTGAAAGGTACTAACTGCCAGGGTGGAAGGCAGTGCTGTACTCTTTCATCTGTATATACATCGTGCAGGCCCATAATTTTAATACGAGTGGCTGTTCTTTGAATCATTTAGATATGCTGGTTCCATTTCGTATGTGTTCTAACAGTTCAACTGATATGATGTTGTTTTTGTTATCGCGCAGAAGCTCGAGTCCCACCGTAAGATTGATTTCAAATATTCTATCTCGAATGCTAAGTATATTTAATTCTTTCCACATATTGAGGATTTTTGGATTTTTTCCAGTCTATGAATACTTTTGCCATTTTGCAGGACTAAAGCTGGTGCATGATAGTCTATCAGAGACCTTATATTAATAATGGTTGAATTATAAGACATCCAGAGGTTTACACAATGACTTTATATTTACCAGTGGAAGGTGTGTGTGGGGATGTGGCCCGGGTGGAGACTTTTATCGTGAAGATGTGCCACAAGAAACGGAAAGAGTCGTCGGCGCCATTAATGCAAGTAAGGCTGTTGAAGTATTTGATTTTTTTTTTTTTTTGTATTAAACTAATCATGTTTCAAGACAATTACTCGAGGGATTTTTGTATGCTAAGTAATGGAGAACAGTTTATAAGACTGCTTAAAAATAATCGTCTATCATTGGTGTAATCACTACATCAATGATATGAGTTGTCTGGGGCCTGACTGCTGAGTGGACAGCGCAGAGGATTCGTAGTCCTGAGGTTCCGGGTTCAATCCCCGGTGGAGGCGGGAACAAATGGGCAGAGTTTCTTCTACCCTGATGGCCCCCTGTTCACCTAGCAGTAAATCAGGTACCTGGGATCTAGACAGCTGCTACGGGCTGTTTCCCGGGAGAGTGTAACAAAAAGGAGGCCTGGTCGAGGACCGGGCTGCTTCCCGGGAGAGTGTAACAAAAAGGAGGCCTGGTCGAGGACCGGGCTGCTTCCCGGGAGAGTGTAACAAAAAGGAGGCCTGGTCGAGGACCGGGCTGCTTCCCGGGAGAGTGTAACAAAAAGGAGGCCTGGTCGAGGACCGGGCTGCTTCCCGGGAGAGTGTAACAAAAAGGAGGCCTGGTTGAGGACCGGGCTGCTTCCCGGGAGAGTGTAACAAAAAGGAGGCCTGGTTGAGGACCGGGCTGCTTCCCGGGAGAGTGTAACAAAAAGGAGGCCTGGTCGAGGACCGGGCTGCTTCCCGGGAGAGTTTAACAAAAAGGAGGCCTGGTCGAGGACCGGGCTGCGGGGACGCTAAGCCCCAAAATCATCTCTGATAACCGCAAGATAACCTGGTCGAGGACCGGATGTGGGGACGCTAAGCCCCGAAATCATCTCGAGATAACCTCAAGATACGATAGATGATTATTGGTGTAGTGGCTACAGCACCCCTGTATGTCAGGCGTTCATCATGGGCGGCAAAGGTTTGAATCCTGGTTGGTTCAAAAGAGTTCTTGGTGATAAAGGCTTGTATCTTCATACACTGCCTTTGTGTCGTATATACTGTGTATGTAATGTGTGTGTGTGTGTGTGGTTTTTTGTACTATCTAAGTGTAATTAAAAAAATTACATACATACACACATTACATATACTGTGTGTGTGTATGTATATATGTATATATATATATATATATATATATATATATATATATATATATATATATATATTATATATATATATATGTCGTACCTAGTAGCCAGAACTCACTTCTCAGCCTACTATGCAAGGCCAAATTTGCCTAGTAAGCCAAGTTTTCATGAATTAATTGTTTTTCGACTACCTAACCTACCTAACCTAACCTAACCTAACTTTTTCGGCTACCTAACCAAACCTAACCTATAAAGATAGGTTAGGTTAGGTTAGGTAGGGTTGGTTAGGTTCGGTCATATATCTACGTTAATTTTAACTCCAATAAAAAAAAATTGACCTCATACATAATGAAATGGGTAGCTTTATCATTTCATAAGAAAAAAATTAGAAAAAATATATTAATTCAGGAAAATTTGGCATATTAGGCAAATCGGGCCTTGAATAGTAGGCCAAAAAGTGAGTTCTAGCTACTAGGTACGACATATATATATATATATATATAAATATATATATTATATATATATATATATATATATATATATATATATGTCGTACCTAATAGCCAGAACGCACTTCTCAGCCTACTATTCAAGGCCCGATTTGCCTAATAAGCCAAGTTTTCATGAATTAATGTTTTTTCGTCTACCTAACCTACCGAACCTAACCTAACCTAGCTTTTTTTGGCTACCTAACCTAACCTTACCTATAAATATAGGTTAGGTTAGGTTAGGTAGGGTTGGTTAGGTTCGGTCATATATCTACGTTAATTTTAACTCCAATAAAAAAAATTGACCTCATACATAGAGAAAAGGGTTGCTTTATCATTTCATAAGAAAAAAATTATAGTAAATATATTAATTCAGGAAAACTTGGCTTATTAGGCAAATCGGGCCTTGAATAGTAGGCTGAGAAGTGAGTTCTGGCTACTAGGTACGACATATATATATATATATATATATATATATATATATATATATATATATATATATATATATATATATATATATATATATATATATATATATATATATATTATACATACGATGCAAATGCAGTGTGTCATATATATATGTTGTGTGTGTGTGATTTTTTATTACTATAATAAAAATATGTACGTATGTATGTCATTCCTAATAATCAGAACTGTACTACTTGGCCTAGTAAGCAAGGCCTGCTTTGCTTAACAGGCAGTGTGATTTTTGCTATTTTCAAACATTTCTCTCCTAATAGTATTAATATATAAGGAACATGAATCACTGACTTATTTATGTTAGGGTTAGGTAGGTTAGATTAGGTTTCATCAAATTTAAGAAGTCTGTAAGAAGCGTGAATTAAAAAAGTTTTCTGTGGAGAGCCTCGTCAGCTCTCTGGAGCTATACCGGGCTGATGTGTATATATATTCGACCGTGGCAACAGTCAATCAAAGGAGTTCTAAGCCTACTGGGAACCAGATCCATAACCTTGCCCCCTGGTGGAGGCCTGGTCAAGGACCGGGCCGCGGGGACACTTAAAAGCCCCGAAATCATCTCAAGATAACCTCAAGATAACCTCAGGAGAGGCACGAGGAGCAATGGCCTAAGGACACGCCCCGTGTAATTGGAAGCAGTCTTTGTCTGCCATCTACCAGGTCAGGCACCCAGAAAGGTAGGAATTCCAAAACAAACTGCTGCCTTTCAAAAATTGCAAACCGAAAGCTGATCTAGCAAACAGAACTCCCCAATAAAAAACAAGGAAACAAACGTGACGTCATCACAATCACCGCACATCCGTCTGCGCAATCCCCCTCACTGGGAAGGGGACGGGGGGTCCCAGACCTCCACGCCGGGGCAACTCCTCATTTCAAGAGGCTGTTGTGTTGGTGACGGTCGATCGCTCTGGCTCCACTCTTTGCGCAGTGCTGCAGTGCGGTGTTATTGCTCTGTTTCGGTGGTGTGAGAGCCAGAAGTAACACAAAAGTACTGGGGCTGCGTGCACCTAGGGCTACCTTCCCTAGGTGCCCCGTAAGTACTGCCTTTGCGGCCTCAGGGTTATCTTTCACGAGCCGTTCAGGAGCAGCTACGTCGGTGTGGTTCTGTCGCTGCTCGGTGATTGCCCACCCTTGGGGGTTCAGCTGGGAAGGTTCTTACTCCTTCCTGTTTGTCCTTGGGTTGGAGGTAGTTTCGTTGCTGGCTGGGGCACGAGGTACTGTGCAGCTGTCTGATATACGCATAGCAACCGGTTCTGTTCATCTGGAGACGTTGTGCTTTTGCGAGGGTTTTCTTATGTTTTTGTTTTGATTTGCCTGATGGGAGTCTACCTGGTGTGGCGGTAGGACCACTTGTAGGATTTTGGTGGCCCTCCACTAGGATCCCTCGTGCTTGCACACGTCGTAGGGGTTCAGCTTTTAGATTGTTTGCTTGGTAGCTCTGGGATAACTGGTTAGCAGTACCTTGCCTGGGCTTCCCTCAGCAGTCAGCTTAAGGGCCCTGGAAACCCTCATTGGGGCTCGGTGCTCCAATCTAGGAGACCTCCGAGTTCCACCTCGCCTTGTGCGAGTTAGAAGGTCGCTCTGCCCCCTTGTCTCAGGGTGACACTCACTGTCTGCCTCCGCTTTGCTGCCTGTTTGGTCAGTGACGCCTATGACCCGGAGTCGTAAGTGGTGGTCTTTGCTTGTACTCCATTCACCCAGTCCACTGAGACTGTTAATTGGGAGCAGGCAGCTTTAGCGTTGCATGCGAGGTTTAGGTTGCAGCAGTGTGCGAGGTTGGTTGCCTTTCCGGATGCCCCAAATCTGTCCCGCTTGATTATACTGGTAGTGAGAGACTGGCGGCTTCGGGGATTGCCCCTTCCGGATCGGTGGCGGAGGCATTCAAGCCTGTTCCTTCTGCCGGAGCTTTTGGGCCACGCCAGCAGGCCCCTTCATCCCTTCTGGGGGACTCTGCTTTTTCTCCAGAGGCAGAGGGTTTGGAGGATGGCTCAGCCCCGGGGTCCTGACGTGGAGGATTCCGGGGCTGGGGAAAAGTTGACTTGGCAGGGCCTGGGCCCCACTTGTCCCTGCTTGGGTGTATGGTACCCTCGGGGCGGGGCTTGTTGTTACAGGGGGGAGGGGTTTTCCTATCTCCCTCCCTGTACGATTTTGTTATGAGTTCGACTCCTCCCTGGGTTCGGTTCAGAGTTCCCTTGGGTTCTTCGGTTCCCTCCTTCCAGAGGTTTTTTTGGCTTCCAGCATCCCACCGAGGAAGGTGTGGGAGGCCCTTGTGGCTTACCTCCTGCGAGACCCGGATTGCACCTCAATAATGAAGCCGTCTTTTGAGTTTAGCTACTCTTTTTGGGTACGTTACGAGGTGCCGGAGTCTTCCTGGCTGGCAGGCTGCCTTTTCATTCATTGGGGCTTGGCATCGTTCTGTCGGACTGCGCACTTGAGTGGCGGGAATTGACTACGGTTGTTCAGGTATTCCTGGGGTGCGAGTTGAAACATATCAATACGTGATTGTTTGCCCCCGACCTTCCTTATGACGTCGTCCAGGTGCGGCTTCACGTGCAGGTTTCCTCCCCTTTCAGCATCCCTGGTAGCCGAGGTTTTGCACGCCCGTGGGCACTTGGCTTCGGTCTTGCGCTTTTTTTTCCCTGCAGGAGCTGGGTTCCGGGCCTGTGTCCGCTGTGCTTGCAGCTTGGGTGCCAGCTGCCTTGTTGAAGTTGTATGCGCTGGTTCTGAGGGAGGTGGTGTCTGTTCTTCGCTTCTCGCCTCGCTTGCTGACAGGCGGTGCTCGTCCATTCTTTGGAATCGTCTGGCTCTTTGTTTTTCATCCCCTATTTTGTTTGTTGCTGTTTGCAGAGTCTGCGGTAGTGCATTTTCTGCAGACGGCTTCGTCTAGTTCACGGCCTATGTCGGACTTGTAGGTTCTACGGGGGAAGGGGGTGGGGCCTTTGGAGGTCCTGCCCGGAAGGGTCGCGTTATGTCTTGGGATTCCTTCAGTCATCGTAAGCCAGTAGTGTTTTCAGTTCGGAAACGGGACTGGGCAGATTCGCGATTCATACTGGTTTTGTCCCGTCTGATCCCCTGGGGTCTTTTGCCCCACCTTTCGGATGACCACTGTTTCAGGTCCGTCTGCTTTTGGCGCCGCTTGCCTGGATGGTTTGGTTTCTTGGTGTACTGGAAGAAGTTCCATTTGGTTCCCTCTCAGGTTCGGACTGGGCTAGGTCTTATATGGGGTCTCTCAGACCGCTTCCTTCTCTCACTGGCAGCATTGTTGCTGCTGCAGTCCCACTTAAGACTGTTTTTGGAGGCCACCTGGGTCACACGTCTGACCGGCCTGCTCTTGCGCAGCCCGAGCTGTCCTGGTCATTGTACCGGGTTCTCTCTTCTCCCTTCTCCTTGGTTTGTGGTGGCTTTTTCTTGTTGGCATTGACCTCAGGGGGTCGGATCGGAGAGTTTCATTTTCTCCTCCGGCGCAGGGGTTTCTGCTCTTTCGGGCTTGGTGGTCTTTTCTTCGTTTGCAGCCGTCTCCTTTTTCTCTGGCGAAGAATGAGTTTGCTGTTTTCAGAAGAGGTCCGAGGGTTGTTGATGCTTGTTTGGTTCGGCCGGGGGTGTATCATGTTTTGTGTCGGTTTGTGGCTCTTCGCCGTTATTTGCACGCCACGGCCTCTGTGGCAGATGACGTGCTTTGGGTTGACCCAGTTTCCCTTCTTCCTTATTTCAGGGCGCAAGTCTTCCAGTATGTCCGCAGGATTATTAGGTCCAGCTATATCCATGCCCACGCCGTTCGTAAGTTTGGCGTTCGACTGCTGTTTTTGTAATGTGTCCTGGCCTATCTTTCATGCACGAGGCTTTTGGAGGTCGAACAGTATCCTGGCTGCACATTACCTTGTTAATGTTCCTAGTCCTCCTCGGACGTGTATAGCCTTGGGTCGCAGGCTGTGGCCAGTTGTCTCGACTTTGAGTTGAGGAGCGAGGGACGACCGCCTCCAGGGCGAGTCCCTTTTCTTATGTTTGGTTAGGTAGCTCCGGGGAGCTGAAGGGGCTCTGCACAGAAGACCAGCGTTGAATGTAATGAAACGCCATTTTTTGGGTGAGACCCGGAGGCTCCCTGGCATTCCTCCCTCCCTCCCGGCCGGCGTTTTTTTGTGTTTTTGATACTCGGCCTCTGAACTGAGGAGAGTTGCTGGCGTGGAGGTCTGGGATCCCCCTGTCCCCCTCCCGGGAAGTGGGGGGTGCGCAGACAGATGCGCAGCGGTTCTGGTGATGTCATGTTTGTTTCTTTGTTTTTTTATTGGGGAGTTCTGTTTGCTAGTTCAACTTTGTTTGCAAATTTTTGACCGGCAGTTGTTTTTTAAATTCCTACCTTTCTGGGTGCCTGACCTGGTAGATGGCAGACAAAGACTGCTTCCAATTACACAGGGGGTGTCTTTAGGCCATTGCTCCTCGTGCCTCTCTTGAGGGGGGGCTAGGTTCTAGCTCTGGTCCCCAGTAGGCCTAGAACTCCTTCGATTGACTGTTGCCATAATCTAATATGTACACATCAGCCCGGTATAGCTCCAGGAAGCTTCCGGGTCTCGCCCAAAAAATGGCATTTCATTACATTCGATGCTCTTTTTTTTTTAAGCTTTTTAAGACTTTTTTTAGTCTTAAACGAGGTATATATCTTGACAGGTATCAGTAGGGACGCAAGATGTGAACATCAATCCGGCAGAAGGTGAAGGGGGCGGCGGGCGGAATTCCTGCCTAAGTATCCCCACACACAATTTTACCTCCAGTAACGGCCACCAAGTCAAGTCATATGTCATAGTATTTCGTGTTTCATTAGTGCACGATCAAGAAAACGGTAAGTTGTTGTAAAACGTTGAATGTTGAAGTCGTGAAGAACAGATACATGAATCTCTATTTTATTACTGGAGATGAGAAAATATCGAGTCCATACGATCAGGATTGAACCCATACCCCTTGACTTGCTTCGGTATGTTCGATCCATTGTATGGACTCGACACGCACTCAAATGCATAGCGTTCATTTGATTTAATTGTCCATTGCACGATATAACCAAGGTGGGCATTTTGGCTCTGAAACCTCTTTGTTATAAAATAAACCTGTGAAAAGTTTTCATATAATGTTCATATAAGATAGCAGAATGTGCTATGTCCATTCATTGATCAATGGTGTAGGTTTTCTGGCATTAACTTAGATGTCTATGAATTTATATTAACCCAACTCACATTAATAGAAAGTGGCGACATTTTGGTCCATCCTGGATCCTTCCTTATCCAGTTGTGTTGACACGATAACGCTCCAAGACGGACTGAAATATCGTCACTTTCATTGCTTCTCGTGTGAGTTGGGTTACTAAGTTTCAGCCCCATTATTGTGACTACTTACTCTCTGCTTGATACCTGCTTGATGGGGTTCTGGGAGTTGTTCTACTCCCCAAGCCAGGCTTGACTCTGCATAAGTTCATATATTTCCTTTGATATCTTGCAGTCAAGTTATGATTTTAATTGTCAAGTGACTAGCGCTTCATGGTGCTACAAATTAGGCGTATTACCAGTTCACGCATTCTGAAGCTGTTTAACATTTGTGGTTTGCGTGTGTGTCGTGATGGGGATTATGAGGGAGTACTAAACATTGCCACCAGGTGACTGCAATGTCTTCGTAGCAGTGGTTAAATAGCTGTCTATAAGGGTTATATCCATAGCAGTCCCTGTGGTGCAGCAGTAAGACGCTCGCCTTGCGTTTCACGAGCGCTTTGTCCTGGGTTCGTATCCTGGCCGGGGAGGATTTACTGGGCGCAAATCCTTGACTGTAGCCTTTGTTTAACCCAACAGTAAAATGGGTACCTGGTTGTTAAACAATTTGGCAGGATCGTATTCCGGGGAACATAGGGTTAAGGGGGCGTTATTCACAAAATATGCAAAAAATGAAAACTCGTTCAATTTCAATCAAACTTTTTTGACAAGTTGTATATGAAAAGGGTTTCATTTGGTCCAAGTCTCAGCATCGTAGCATAAATAGGAAGGATGAAAAAAAATATTGAATTGTGTCAAAAAATTTCAAAAATGGTCAAAAAAGATTATCAAACAAAAATGTCAACTGAAATCATGTCTATGACTCACAGGTATCACAATAGCATATATTAAAAACAAATTATAATTAGTTTTATTAACAAAAAATTTAGTTAAAAAAAAAAGTCAAATTTCACTTTTTTTTTTTATTTTATCTCTCTTGTTTATGGGGCGATTTGCATGAAACTTAGGCTTACGTGCTGTCAGGTGTATATCTGTAAGGGTGCTAATTTTGGATAAAATTGGTTGATGTCAACTTCAGCCACAGAGGGCAACACCTTAGACTTTATTTTTTACTTGAAAGTTTATGTTACTTGAACATGAATATCTTTTTCATTTTTTATGCAATTTACATGAAACTTACACATTATATATAAATTTTATGTCTCTAAAATCGTTTGCAAATGTTTTTATCTTGAGTTCTTTATTGACTTTATAATAGCAATAAACATGATATATTTGCATAATTTTGGGGGGAACTTAGACTATTTGTATTAGGAAAACTAAAGACGTTTTGGAAAATCTTTTGCTAGAGATCCTTTATTATATGTTAATGTGTCAGAAAAGTGTCATAGAATGATTATATCTGAAAGGTGTGGTTGTAAATTTACACTTGAAAATGTGTAAAATTCGTTGAAAAAAAATAAAAAAATTAAAAATCTCCCTTACTATTTAGGCTACAGTGCTGAAACTTCGAACAATTGTAGCCCTTTTCATATACAACTAGTCAAAAATAATGGTTGACACTAAACAACAACTTTGATACCCGAATAACGCCCCCTTAAGGACTTGCCCGAAACGCTACGCGTGCTAGTGGCTGTACAACCATGTAACAACTCTTGTGTATACAGTATAAATAAAAAAAAAGGTTTTTGACTATTAACTTCTTAGAGCTAACAAGAAAAGAGAGTTATGCAATTACAATAATCCAAAAAGTTCACATGAAGAGTTTAAAGTGTTAATACATTCAGTAGTCTAAAGTTGAATAATCATGTAATCTATACTGCTCCTAATGTGTCATCAAGGGATCTATCCCATATGTAATTGTCCATTTTCCATGATATAGCTGTCCTTGATAAGCCTGTCCATGATATGCCCCCCTCTGTCTCTCTCTCTGCTTCTTTATGAACTCCCTACATTTTCACACATTTAACTGTCCATGGCTTCTCACCTTACTCCTGTCATTCCTCTCTACTATCTGTCTACCCTGAAATTTACACATTTTACCAGTCTACCAATAATTCTTAGGAGAAACTTAATTCGATATTTGTTCTTTGCGAGTAGAAAATGTATTAAGTAATAGTAATTGTTACCGAGTAATGGTACTCCATAACTTTCAGCTGGGGAGCCTGTGGTTAAGCGGCGTCGTGTCGGCCGAAGTGCATCGCAGGACTCACAAGATAACATACTGTCGGTTAGCACTAATGCAGTCAATGGGGATAGTCATGGTGGTGGTGGTGGTGTAGGATCGACGTACTTTGGCGAATTAGTGATGTTCGATCGCCACGGACGTTGTCTACTAACTCCTGGGCAGTACGAGTTAATGTTGGAACTTCAAGCCGGGGAGTCGACCCAGCTTTGTAAATCCAGCCCAAAGAAGAATGCAAGTTGGGAGAGTATTGATACCCTCAAATTTGATGGTATATTTAATAATATTCCTGTTCTTAAGTTTACATTAAACTGGAACAGTGAAAACTCCACTTCTGTCATAGAACGGCCGAGATTACGACCTCTCAAGCCTCTAGATGTCGTCTTGGCTAATAGTGCATCCACAAAACCAAAGCCTCAAGGTAAGGGCGTTTCTATTGTAAATAGCATCATCCATCCCTATCCTTTTCATCCTTCTCCTTGGGGTGGACGGCAGAGCGACGGTCTCGCTTCATGCAGGTCGGCAGAGCGACGGTCTCGCTTCATGCAGGACGGCAGAGCGACGGTCTCGCTTCATGCAGGACGGCAGAGCGACGGTCTCGCTTCATGCAGGACGGCAGAGCGACGGTCTCGCTTCATGCAGGACGGCAGAGCGACGGTCTCGCTTCATGCAGGACGGCAGAGCGACGGTCTCGCTTCATGCAGGACGGCAGAGCGACGGTCTCGCTTCATGCAGGTCGGCAGAGCGACGATCTCGCTTCATGCAGGTCGGCAGAGCGACGGTCTCGCTTCATGCAGGTCGGCAGAGCGACGGTCTCGCTTCATGCAGGTCGGCAGAGCGACGGTCTCGCTTCATGCAGGTCGGCAGAGCGACGGTCTCGCTTCATGCAGGTCGGCAGAGCGACGGTCTCGCTTCGTGCAGGTCGGCAGAGCGACGGTCTCGCTTCGTGCAGGTCGGCAGAGCGACGGTCTCGCTTCGTGCAGGTCGGCAGAGCGACGGTCTCGCTTCGTGCAGGTCGGCAGAGCGACGGTCTCGCTTCGTGCAGGTCGGCAGAGCGACGGTCTCGCTTCGTGCAGGTCGGCAGAGCGACGGTCTCGCTTCGTGCAGGTCGGCAGAGCGACGGTCTCGCTTCGTGCAGGTCGGCAGAGCGACGGTCTCGCTTCGTGCAGGTCGGCAGTGTCGGTCGGCATTCAATCCCCGACCATCCAAGTGGTTGGGCACTATTCCTTTTCCCCCGGCGTCCCATCCCTAATCCTTATCCTGACCCCTTCCCAGTGGTTGCGCACCATTCCTCCCGACCCATCCCAAATCATTATCCTTTCCCAGTGCTATAAAAATCGTAATTGCTTGGCATTTCCCCACTGATAGTTTCCTTGCTTCTCCATTAATTTGTTTATTTACAGATGTTTTGTGTTTTGTGTTGCCAGGTGTGGCTAGTCCTGAGGCTCCCCAGCTGGTGCTCTACCAATTTGTGTATAACAACAACAGTCGACAACAGACCGAAGCCAGAAGAGACTTCCACTGCCCCTGGTGCTCGCTCAACTGTATGGCCCTCTACTCGCTCCTCAAACACCTCAAGCTCTGTCACGCGCGCTTCACCTTCACATATGTTGTGCGTAAGACTCGTCTCGTGCGGTAGTTTGGTGGTGTTGGAGATTGTGTTAGCTCTGTCACGCGCGCTTCACCTTCACATATGTTGTGCGTAAGACTCGTCTCGTGCGGTAGTTTGGTGGTGTTGGAGATTGTGTTAGCTCTGTCATGCGCGCTTCACCTTCACACGTGTTGTATGCAAGACTCGTCTCATGTAGTAGTTTGATGGTGTTGGCACTCGTGTTCACTCTTATCACGCTTGCTTCACCTTCACAAGTGTTGTTCATAATACTCAACTTGTGATTTGGTAGTGTTTAGTTCTTATGTATTATCTTTTTAAAAGCTTAAACAAGGGTTTCATGCTTGGTTCACCTTAACATTTGTGTGCAATACTCGGCTTATATAGTCAGTCGATTGTGGTCATAATTTAATACCAAGGAAGTGTAATGTTAATATTAATGTGAATATTAATATTAATGTGAATATTAAGTGTAATGTTGTCCATACTTCGAAGCTATAATAAAAACCCTGTGCAATTGCATCACGTATTGACAAGAAAATTTAGTTAATCTGCATTAGGAATTTACAATGTGCGAGTAATTAAACATGGGATTGGAAAAGTTGATCAGCTGTTCAGTAGTGTAAATCAAGTTGACATTTTTTAGATGTACAGTAAATTGACAAAAATTTTGTTTACCATTTTAAATGATGTGTATAGTGTTGGTAACACATTGTGTAGTAGTGACAATAGTAGTAATTAACAATAGTGGTAGTTGTAATAGTGGTTGTTATGAGAGTAGGCAGCCTACATATGGAAGTGTGTCTCAGTGTATATGTAGAGGACTGGCAAACCATTTGACATTGCATTTTGACCAGACCACACACTAGAAGGTGAATGGACGACGACGTTTCGGTCCGTCCTGGACCATTCTCAAGTCGATTGTACAATCGACTTGAGAATGGTCCAGGACGGACCGAAACGTCGTCGTCCCTTCACCTTCTAGTGTGTGGTCTGGTCAACATACTTCAGCCACGTTATTGTGACTCATCGCCTTACATTGCATTGTTTGTGGAGCCAAAGAATCATAGACTACCCTCTTTGTTTTCTTTTAAAAATAAGGTCATAAAATATCATAATATCTTTTAACTAAAAAATATATTAATTTTGTAATTATTAATTCTTTTTTAATTGCAGCCACATCCTAAAGGAGCGCGAATTGACGTTGCTCTCAATGAATGCTACGACGGCTCTTACGCGGGGAACCCACAAGACTTGGTAGCAATGCCGGCCGGGTTTGCGTTTTCCCGGAGCGGGCCCACGCGCCGAACGCCAACCACTTCAGTATTAGTCTGCAGACCAAAAAGACCGAAGCCTTCATTATCGGAATTCCTAGAGCAGGATGATGATTTTGATTTACCTCGGTCGTATATATTAGGCCATAATAGGTGAGGATCATAAAGTATTTCGTTAAAACTTTATTTTTATTTTAAAGGTTGCATTGTAGCTTAATTTAATGTACTTGGTTGATTTATTCTATGTTAAAAGTACAATTTTCTTTCCAGCAAAGAAGATAGATACCTTTTGAAAATGAAATCGTGAAGGAAGCATGAATGCACTCGATATTATTAAATGAACAAATCCGCAAGGGCCGTGACGAGGATTCAAACCTGCGTCTGAGAGCATCCCAGACGTTGCCTCAATCGACTGAGCTATGACATAGTAAAAGAGTTGAAACTAAAGTTCTACTGAACTTACTGGATCCCGCAGCCTCTCCAAGGCACACGCCAGGGTTTTACACAACTCCCCCCATGCACTCAAGCTATGTCAAT